TTTTTTTTTTTTGGTAAGGACTTGGTGTTGGTGTAGAAAGATGACTTAGCACTTAAGAGCACTTGTTGTTCCAGGTGGGTGGTGCATACCTTTAATTCCAGCACTTAGGAGGAAGAGGAAGGTGAATTTCTGTAAGTTCAAGGACAGCAAGATCTACACAGTGAGTTCCAGGACAGCCAGAGCTACAGAGAGAAACGCTGTATTGAAAATAAATAAATAAAGCACTTGTTGCTCTTGCAGAAGATATGGATTCAGTTCTCAGCACCCACGTGGTGGTTCACAACCATTGATAACCCAGTTTCAGGGGATCCAACATCCTCTTCTGAGCTCTATGGGTATCAGGCATACTCATGATACACAGATATACACACTTGGGATGCTGTGAGCTCTCAGCTAGCCTGGGCTACAGAACGAGAAATGAGGCCCATCTCAATGAAGCCTTTCCAAGACTACATCATGATTTCTCCCAGGAAAAAAGGTAACATTCTCTAAATAATTTCTTCCAGGTTTCTATCAATTTTACTCTTTAGTCTTTTAAGATTTGTTATTATGTATACAGGGTTCTGCTGGTATGTATGCCTGTACGCATGCATACCAGATCTCATTACAGATGGCTGTGAGCCACCATGTGTGCTACAAGCCTCCATATCTTGAGCTGGTTCAACATCTGTCACGTGGATTTCTGAATTATTGACAGAAATTATGGTTCATTGTGGCTGAAAGACTGCCCTGGAGTTGAATGTCCATGTATGTATGGATTCCTGAGAAAGAAGTCAGGTCCTTGAAGAAGGACTTAGAAGCATTGGAGTGTGCATGTGGATGATCATATGTGATCATGGAGGCAGCCGTTTCCTCCGGAGCCTCTTTATTTCCTTTTCTAAGGTATTTTTCTGGTCAGTTCCTCACAAAGCCTCAGGAAAAAAAATCTTCAGCCTGCGAAAGTCCTCACAATTGGCCTCACTGGCTTTCTGGAGCTTGTGGTCTACAGAGCAAACAGCTACTGCCTGGAGGCCTCTTTAAATGCTTCAAGAGCAGTGGCATCACCCATGTGCCCCCCTTTTCCTTCTTTTGGACATATGGTCTCATGAAGCAAAGCTGGCCTCAGCTCTGAATTGCCCTCCTCACTGAGTGCTGGAGTTACTGACTTCTGTCCCATGGTTGGTATCTTTTTAACAATGATGGAAAATAATTGGCTAACATGGCTTGACTATTAATAGGTACTATTTTGAGTACAAGTACATATAAAATCAATTTAATCCTTATTTGCAGCCCTGTCACAGGCAAAATGTTGTCATCTCATGAGAAAACCAATGTGCAGGAGGTTAATCGCACAGAGCAGCAAGCTCACACCCGCAGCAGCCTCACCCAGGTTCAGCGTGTTCATGTGTGTGCAGACACACACACGTGCTGACATACACAGGTTGTCTGCGGACGACTGCTGAAAGTTGGTTCTATTATGCCATGGGTATTTTGTCTGCATTGAGTACCGTGTATGTGCAGTGCCCAAGGAAGCCAGAAGAGGGCACTGGGATCCCATGGAACTGAAGTTACAGACTGTGAAGCACAGTGTGAGTGCTGGGAATTGGGTTCTCTGGAAGCGTGGCCATCACTTAGGCCCTAGGGAGCAGGTTCCTGCTACCATGTGGTAGAAACCTAATTCACCCTGTCAGGTGAGGCAACAAGTGCTGTTTACCACTGAGCTGTCTTGGGAGAGGTTAAAGGTAAGATACAAACTCTAATGAGGACCAGTAAGACAACTCAGTGGGTAAAGTTGCTTGTTGCCAAGCAATCAATCACCGGAACCTACATGGTAGAAGGAGAGAACTGACCCCACATACTGTCTCTGGGCCTCCACATCTTTGTCATGACATACACACACCTGAAATAAGTGAATAAATAAGTGTAATTAAAAATATATATAATGCGGGGGCTGGAGAGATGGCTCAGAGGTTAAGAGCATTGCCTGCTCTTCCAAAGGTCCTGAGTTCAATTCCCAGCAACCACGTGGTGGCTCACAACCATCTGTAATGGGGTCTGGTGCCCTCTTCTGGCATACAGGCATACACATAGACAGAATATTGTATACATAATAAATAAATATTTTATATATATATATATATATATATATATATATATATATATATATATAATGGGAACTAATGCAAATCAAATTAGACTCAGAATTTCCATGTCGTCGGTATCCTCAAGAATCTTGCCAGGGAACTGCAGCACAGACACTGAGTGCTTCTGATTTAGATTCACTTCCACCCAGAGCGCCCTCAGACATTTTTACAAGCTGGTATTTAGGTAGCACTTACTGAACGGCTGAGAGTTGCCAGTCTCTCCTCTCTCTGTCAGAGTTGACAGAATTAGTGCTGTCTGCAGCACACAAGTAAAGCTCTGAGAACCGTGTGCTCGATTTTAATCGTTGTTCGGTTCCTAGGATCAATATAACACTTTCATGCAGGAGGGGTGTCGGGGTCCGGTGCCAGACCGGACCATAAATTATTTCTCCGGACCAGAGGGGAGGTGAGGGATTAAAGACACAACTCACATGGCTGTATTGGGAGGGAGTTTTCAGGGATCTCTCATGAAATCCTGAGTTCACATCCTAAAAATTCACCCGCGTTTATTCTCCAACTGCTTTTATAACAAAATGTAAACTGAGGGGAAATTCATTAGCAGTCTGTTTCTGGGATAGCAGGACTATGGCTGCTCTATCACGTAGCCTGGACTAACACCTCTTCCCAGGCGATCTCCATAATTACAAAGAAGGAACAGAACAATATTAGCATATCCTGATCCTTTTAGGATGGCACATCCTGTCTAGAAGGCTATGTGACCACCTCCTGTGTGGTCAAGTATGAGCTGGCCTGAAAGTCTGGCCGCCATACAATGTAGGGCCTGTATAACATTGCCCAACACAGGGGCTCAACCAAGGCAGGACGGCGGTGGACGCAAGAGCCTCCTGGAAGCCGCTGGTTCAAAGCAAACACAAAAAGGCTTCCCTTTTTTTTTTCCTCCAGATTCTAAGTTCAAGTTTCAAAAGAAATTTGACCTAGGACTAGGTGTGACGCTCAGTAGTAGAGTGTGTGCCCAGCATTTGTGAGGCCCTGGTTTGCCCCCCAACACTGAAACAAACAAAAGGAGTGAGCGTTATGAGCTGGGAGTGTGATTTGGCAGTCCAGAATTTTGTATGAAATATTTGGATCCAAATCTTAGCACAATACAAACTTGGGTCTCAAGTTGTTAGGCTTTTGTGGTGATGCTGACGGGCAGACAGGGTGTTGGCTGCAGGGATGCACATATTCTTCTCTAGGAAAGAGAAGTACGAATGGCCAGAAAGTCTAGATGAAACTCCCAAAGTGTTTCTTCCTGCGTGTGCACAATTATGTGTCTAAGGAATCTAGAGGTCAGCCTTGGGTATCATCCAACTTGTCTACCCATCCACCTTGTGTTTCCAGGCAGGGTGTCTCAACTTGGTTCACCAAGTTGGCTAGGCCCGTGGCCATCATCAGCACCAGCACTGAGTGTGACTCACCACTCCCAGGCTTTTGCTGATGTGGGTTTTAGACATCAAACCCAGGTCTTCATGCTCATGTAGCAAACATGCAGCCCATGGAGCCGCTTCCAGCCCTTGACACATGTCGGTGTGGCAGGCGTGTTGTCTTCCAGTCAGCAAAGTCAGAGTACAG